TAAGGTCCCTTCAACTTTCATATGTTGTTGATGCATAGCATGTATATATAAATATCTGTTACATGATGAATTAATGAATAAAATAATGAATGAATGAATAGCTATGAATAAACCTGTAAGAACTCTGGAAGGTTCATTGATGGATAGAGCAGTGGTTTTCAAACTTCTTCAGGTGATGAAATAACTATAAATCATGTAGCTTTTGGTGGAACATATAAAAATGTGAATTTATTAAATCTTAAGAGAGTAAACCTATTCTACCTCTGGAAGCACATATAAGAATCTGATAGCATTGATTCCCTCCCAGGAGGGGACCTGGAGTTTGGGAGACAGAAATGGGAGTGAGACTTTTCCTGTTACCCTTTCATTCTTTCTGAATTTTACATAATTTGAATGTATTTAAATAAAAAGGAGTGACATACTAAAAATTAAAATTTTTATGATAAATCAGATACTATCTTGATTTAGATTCCAGTATAGTAAAGCAATAGAAAAGAATCAAACTTTTAAGAAAGATGTAAGGAAGAAATTTTATTTTATTATATTTTTGTAAATTTGGAAAAGACCACTACTATTTGATTCTGCAGATAAAACACATTTGTTTGGTGTTCTGTTGGAGCACAGTTTGGGTATTATGGCTCTTAAGGAAAGAGAACGTTGACAGCCAAAACTTTACTTGGACATGCTTTAGAGAATTTCACAGTGATTTGAAAAGAATACTCTCCCTGATGCACTCTTTAAAAAAAATATTTCTTCTATTATTCTTGAAATTGAAAGCATAAATAATATGCTCAGCCATCAGAGGTGCTGGAATTTTTTTTTTCCCCCCCTCGGATGCACTCTTTAAACCATTAAAAGACTGTGATTTTGCTTTGTGGATATTGTTGTCTCACGAATTACTTATTTTCCCCAGCAAGCTAGGTATTGTGAATAAAAGAATGAGATCACTAAGCATATTTATGCTTATGGACTAAGGAATTCAAGTCATGTGGGGATAAAGTAAACCAAAGAAGTTGCAGTGATGAAGCCTTGACCTCTGAATCACATATGGGTCTTCACATATGGGAAAAGGCAGGAGTGATACAGCATGGAATCATCCTTGACACTTCCTGTGTCAGAGTTACATACAGATCAGCACTGAGACTGCAGTTTTCTGTTAGATGATTATTAGTGAACAAATCTCTATTTAGGACCCAGATACCTTATTTACTTAAGATAGTACATGGAAAATAAATGTTCAATAAATACATATGTCTATAAAATTATCATGTGCAAAATATTCACTTTCCCAAGTGCTTTGTTTTATGTATCACATTTAAAACTCATGTCAACGTTGTAAAGAAGGCTGGTTACTTATTTTTTTCTGATAAACAAATGTGGAAACTAAGACTCAGAGAGGGTGAGTGACTCGACAGGCCCAAACTATTGATAATTAATAAAGTCAGGCCTTTTGACTCTTTGGCTATTGTATTCTCCATCTCCCCCAAAATGTCTGGTGACTTCAACATGGAATGCCATCCTTCTCTCTTCTTAGGCTTTGACTCACTCTTTATTTAAAATTTTTCTCAAAATTCTTCTCCAAGAGGCTGTTTCAGAAAGCCCTGACAGTTTTGCTGGTTCCAAGCCTCCCAATAATTTGTTTCTAGTATCTATTTTCTATCTATTCTATTTGGTCTCTATTTTCCATGATTTATTATCTATCATATTCCAGTATGAATTTTAGCTTTATCGGTGTGCTTTCTGCTATTTATTTCCCCTTCTTATCCTATGTAAATGCTCTTTATTATAAATAGTACTACCCTTGACTTTTAGACATTCATAATCTATTCTAAATAAAATCCAGGTGACTAGATAATAGTAGTTTCAAACTTTTGTGTGCATAAGAATGACCTATGGAGCTTATTAAAAGTAGATTTCTCAGTGTTTTTCCCGTAGGTTCTGATTCTGTGTGTCTGGGGTCAGGTCCAGAAATCTGCATTTTAAGTAAGCACCTCAGAGGATTTTGATGCAGGCAATCCAATGATCATGCTTTCAGAAACCTTGTTCTTGAGAACTAAAAATTAGACTGTTACATACTGCATATCTATCCTTTGTTCAGTAAAAGATACATAGGTATAAAATAACTGAGTTCTTGCTCTCTTAGTGTTTACAGACTTCCAGGGGAGGAAGAGCAGAGTGCCTGCCATCTCTGACATTATATGATGACAGACCCTGTGAGTGTTATAGATAATAAATGCTATAGGAATGTAAAGAAGAAAGGCATCGCTTTTGGCCAGATTATCATGAATGGCTTCATAAAAGATAGGGGTTGAGCTAGGGTTAGAAAAAACAGGTCTCAACAAGATGAGGAAACAAGTGAATTATTTCAAGATGTTGGAGCTGAGGGTCAAGGAAGCACTATACTTTTAGGGTATCAGTATGTAGAATGATGTGTCTAAATTGAAAAAGAGTTTGTGTAGGGACATGGCACGATTTATGCCTGGAAAGACAGCCACGAGTTAGATTGAGAAGAGCCTGGAATTGGGACTTTATTCTGTAGGTACTGGATGGTTCTTCACACATGCCAATAAGAAAATTTGGCATTTAAAAAGATTGATCTGGCAGTGAGTTTGAAAACCCTGAACTATATTTGGTGGGTTGGTTGTGCAAATTGTAAGGAAGGCTTGGTTTGAACGTTTGTGAAGGTAGATTCAACACGATCTGGACGCTGCTGAGGTTTGAACCTCCTTGACTAGGTTGCTTGTGTACGATTTCACCACTCAGTGAATGTAAGGAAGGAAGTATTTTAAAGTAGTGTTTGGTTTTAGATCTGGAATCCAACTTCCTACCCAAAGTTGGCATCTTCGGTACATATACATCAGATAGTTTTGCTTAAATATATGGCAACTATTTTAATTTTGTCGAAAGGAAGAGGTCTGGGGCTCGTGGGAGAGAAATGGAGATTGGGGTCCGCCAAGCCGCAGAGAAGACAGACTGTTCAGCTCACTTATTTTTATTATACAGAAAGCGCCACACAAAAAAACTAAGATGACCAGTAGTCCCTGTCCTTAAAAAGTTTAAAATCTGGATGTAATCTACAGGGGATCCCAGTAAGAGTAAATGGCAAGCCCTCAAATCCACAAACCACAGATCAGCCAATTTGTACTCTTCCTGTTGGAGCAGCTGAAGGCCTCCGGCTAAAGAAGAGTGAAAATTAGTAGGATACTAAATTGGGAATGATAAATCTCTTCCTGCAGGGTGTGGATCTGGGAAACTCTTTTCAGTAGCGTACGCCAGACTGCCCAAACTCGCGCTAGAACAGCTCTCAGGAACTGCAGGGCTAGAGCCACCAGAGAGCTATAAATTTATCCCGTTAACTTCCAAGTGGGCGGCTTAGGGCAGGCGAGGCTCCACGGTCCGCCCACAGAGGCCAGCACCTCGCTCTGATTGGACAAGTTCATTTCCTCGCCTTCCTCCGCGGGACTACTTCAGCCATCGATCACACTGCTTGTTCCACCCCTACCAGGCTCCACCCCTTTTCAGTGATGTAACACCTGGTGCTCTTTCGCGCCCCAGCCCTCAAGCTCTCCACCAGTCGCTTCAGTTCCTCATTGGCCAGTAGAGAGGGGAGGGAAGGATGGGCGCAGTCTATTTTGTTCTCTAAACTCCCTCCTCTAGTTTCCCGGTCTTCTCATAGGCTGTCAGGAGTGCAATTATAGCCTGGAGCTGTCGCGCAGGCGTGCAAAGATGCTCGCTGGTGGAGGGGCACCTCCCCTCAATCATTAGAGAGTTAGTTACACTGTTGTGACGTGAGAGTGGCACTCCGCTTGTCATCCTCACTAACGATTGGCTGTACGAGATCCGTCATACAACCACGCCCCATTCCTCTGCCTAACCTCCCAGTTTGATAGCCCTTGCAAGAGGCCCAGCTTCACCCCGTTGCTGCCGCTTAGCCCTGCGATTGGCTGAGGGAGCTGGCGTGCTTTCCCACCCCCTACTCCTTCCCGGGCCTCCGAGAGGCTGGCGGGACCCCGCGGAAGTTGTCAGTCAATCTCCTCCCTCCCCATCCCCCGCGCTGTCCTTCCCCCTGGCCGCGCGCCCTAGCGCGCGCGCGCGCACACGCACTCACACTCCCCCCTTGCCTCTACCCAGCACCTTCTCAAGTTGTAGCGGTCGCCCGCCAGGGGTTCTCTGTGGGCTGCGGAAGGGCGTGTGGGGGAGGGGGTTCGGACTGCTCGGCGCTTCGAGGAGCGAGTGTGTGTGCGCGCCCAGGGCCGGGGCAGCTGTTCACCGACCCGGGAGATGAGGGGTCGGCGCTGACAGGGA